CACCAAACCAGTATTATATGAAATGCTGAAAGGTATCCTTTAAGAAGAGGAAGAAGAAAAAGGTAAAGATACAAACTATGAACAACAAATACACATCTATCAACAAGTAAATCTAAAAATCAAGTGAATAAATAATCTGATGAACAGAGTAAACTGGTGAATATAATAGAATCAGGGGCATAGAAAGGGAATGGACTGACTATTTTCAGGGGGAAAAGGTTGTGGGGGTGCGGGAAGAGACTGGACAATAATCGTGCACCTATGGACGAGGACAGTGGGTGGGGGGTGGGTGAGGGCAGAGGGTGGGGTGGGAACCGAGTGGAGGGGAGCTATGGGGGGGAAAGAGGAACAAGTGTAATAATCTGAACAATAAAGATTTATTTAAAAAGAAAAGAAATAATCCCAATAAGATTAAGGGATGGAGACTAAAAAAAAAACAAAACAAAACTGACCATCACTCCAACACACAAGATGGCCGCCCCCATGTGGACACAAAATGGCTGCCACAAGATGGCCGGCAAGGGAGGGCAGTTAGGGGTGACCAGGCCGGCAGGGGAGGGCAGTTGGGGGTGACCAGGCCGGCAGGGGAGGGCAGTTGGGGGTGACCAGGCTGGCAGGGGAGGGCAATTGGGCCGGCAGGGGAACAGTTAGGTGTCGATCAGGCAGGCAGGCAGGCGAGTGGTTGGAGCCAGCAGTCCTGGATTGTGAGAGGAATGTCGGTGGATTGGGCCTAAACAGGCAGTCGGACATCCCTCAGGGGTCCCAGATTGGAGAGGTTGTAGGCTGGGCTGAGGGACAGCCAACCCACCCCATGCACGAATTTCGTGCACTGGGTCTCTAGTCTATGTATGTAAAAGCCTAAGTGACCGTTAGGATGAACGACCGGAACGACCAGTTGATCAGTCACTATGATGCACACTGACCACCAGGGGGCAGATGCTTAATGCAGGAGCTGCCCCCTGGTGGTCAGTGCACTCCCACAGGGGGAGCGCGACTCAGCCAGAAGCCAGGCTCACGGCAGGCGAGCACAGCTGCAGTGGCGGGAGTCTCTCCCGACTCCACGGCAGTGCTACCAAGTGGTGGCGGGAGGCGGAAGGGGCCAGCATGAGCGCAAGCAGCACAGGGCTGGCTCAGGCTCCACCCTGGATGCCTGCCGCTTGGCACCTGTGGGGGTTGGGCCTAAACCAGCAGTCAGACATCCCCCAAGGGGTCCCACATTGTGAGACAGTGCAGGCCAGGCTGAAGGCCTCCCTCCCCTATGCACGAATCCATGCACCGGGTCTCTAGTATTACATAAATATAATGTCTAAGCAACCGTTCAACCAGTAGCTATAATGCACACTGACCACTAGGAGGCAGACGCTCAATGCACAGGCATGGAAACATGGAACAGACTGATGAATCTCAGAGGGAAGGGGGAAGGGGGAGGGTGAGAAAAGATTAACCAAAGATCTTATATGCATACTAGAGGTCTGTTGCACAAATTTGTGGGGTCCCTCGGCCTGGCCTGCAGGGATAAGGCCAAAACCAGCAGTCTAACATCCCCTGAGGGGTCCCGGATTGCAAAAGGGCTCAGGCCAGGCTGAGGGACCCCACTGGTGCACATGCACCGGGCCTCTAGTATTACATAAACTTATGGAAAAACAGTGGCAGGATTTGAGAGGACTAACTCTAATTTCAAAAGAAGTTCTACTATGGGTAAAATACTATCAAACAGCATCACATGCTTCAGAGAAATTGTTTGTGAAAGGAAAAGTCAATTGATGCAACAGACTTCATTGTTGTCTCATTTTAAGAAATTGCCACAGCCACCCCAACTTCAGCAACCCACACCCTCATTGTCAGCAGCCATTATTATCAAGACAAGACCCTTCACCAGCAAAAGGAATTTGACTCACGAAAGGCTCAGATAATTGTTAGCATTTTTAAACAATAAAGTATTTGTAAATTAAGATATGTAAATTTTTAGACATAATGGTACTGTACACTTTGACTACAGTATAGTACAAACATAACTTTTATATGCACTAGAAAACCAAAAAAAGTATGTGACTTTTATTGCAATATTCACTTTATTGCAATGATCTAGAATAGAACCCACATATCTCTGAGGCATGTCTATAAGCTCTAAAAGGAATACTAATGATATAGTTTAAATCAGCTTAAGAAGAAAGTTGAAAATATTCTTAAAATGACATTTTACCAAAATAATCCCCTAGTCTCCCATACAACACTTTTTCTAGCTCCTTTGTTCTCAAAGGCAAACATCTGCCTATGGTAATCAGCCAATATGCAGCAAGTCTGAATTCTGTCTTATTACTAAACAACTTCAAGAGAATGGCAACAGAACCATTTTAGAAGACAGTATAAAAAGCCACATGAGAGCTCTGAGTATCTACTCAAACTAAAAAGTGGCTCTGAAGAAACAGAATTATTTTGAAGCTCCTCTACATTTATATAGGAACCAATTTAAGGACATTTTGTAACACCGAGATTTTTTTTAAAAAATCAAAGAATCTTAGCAAAGAAATCTAAAAATGACAAACATGTACACAGAAAAATTTTTGCATACAAAACTGTTAAATATTTGTGGCTGACAGAATTTTCAACTATAATGATATACATAGGACTCAATTTTCAACTGGCAATAGGTACACTCATTCTTTATGTTCAGTGGATGCTGAAACATAAATATTCAGTTGACTCTTGACTAATGGGGGGATTAGGGACACCAAACACCTGCTCCCAACTTACAACTTGAGTTGACCCTCTGTATATGTAGATTCCCAAATATGGATCGCAATACTATTGTTGATTCACAGTTGTTTTACCCAAGGATGCGAAATCTGGTGATAAGTAGGTTATGCTTATTGAAAAATATCTGTGTATGTGTGGACCCACACTGTTCAAACCCATCAAGGATGAACAGTAATATCTCTCAGCACCATTTAAAATATCAACAATGGAAATAAAGTTATTTTTGGTCTCCTGAGTTTGAAGGGCAAGAAAAGCCACATTAATAAGAAAGAGTGCAGTGTAAGTAGTGGAAGTTTACTCACTGATCTCAGAGTATCTAGTTTATATTTTTGGTCTTGTCACCGTACCATTGAATGCTTTCAACCAGGTAATTTTACATTTAATTCCAACTGTGTAAATTAAAAAAAAATTGAGGTCCAGGCTTAACTCCCCTGGGTTTCTTTACATACATACAAAACAAGGACAATATTAAATAGCTAGCCTATCTAATGGGTTAGATTAAATGAGACAAAAAAAGAAGTCATCTGAATGGTATCAATGAAAATGCCCCACCTTCCTAAGGGCTAAAGTGAAAACCATGATTCTAATTTTAATAATGTAAGAATTATACTTTTTCAAGAATGAAAAGAAGAGCATTAATCCTGGCCACAGCACTTTGCCTACATTTATGTTATGGTAAAACCACGTTAGAATCACTGGATAAATGGAACTGGTTTTGACAAGTTCAAATCTGACAAAAGAATACTTTTCAATGATTTCATCACTATTATGTTACACAACACTATTTTCTACTATAAACTACAAATTCAGAAAACCTCTGCAACAAAAAGAGAGCAAAGCCCTAACAAATGTGACAAGCAAATCTGACCATCCAGGAATTTTCTGTATAGCATCTCCTTGGCATGAAGGTGAATAGAAATTGATATTTGTACTAGTAACTGTGATCATTCTACCTTGAATACGACTGATTGCAGAAGGAAGTTATTCTAGTGCTTCTCCTCTGAGATATCTTAGAAATCTTTCCTGTTCCTAAGCAGAATTTATAACAGCAGCTACATAAATATCTTTAATAAAGGAAAACAATGTAGTTAAAACTGCTTTGTTTCTTAAAAAGGAAAAGAATTATTACAAAGTTTATAGGGAAGGAATGCATACTACAGGAAGCACCATGACACAGTTTTGCTCTGAGAATATAAATAAAGATAATGAGAAAGCACAGAGCACCATGCCTCATACACAGTGCATGCATCAAAGTGGAAGCTGCATTATACACTAAATTAGCCACCAGATGGCATGACAATTCCAAAATCTTTGAAGGGAGACTAATAGTTACCAGTTTTCCAAATGAATTAGTACCAGTGTGCCTTTTGATTTAAAACCAAAATTTGAAGTTAACATTTTCATGTAATTTCACTTTATCCATTTTATGAAGTAGTTATAGAGAAAAGAGACTTCTATATGCAATTATCAATTTTAATCCCTAAAAGTACCAATTTTCTGATATGGACTATGGAGAAAAAAATCTAATCATCTTACAACTATTTTATTTTAAAGTATGAAAGGATCTTACTCATTTTATAAGTAAGGAAACTATCGCAAGGAAATGTAAAGAAACTTGGAAAAGCTCACACTGTTAATAGTAGCAATAATTAAACTAAATCTAAGTTTTTATTTCTATTACAGGGTTCTTTTCACTACTCAAAAAAGTATAATTTTTAAAAGCCAAGCCATTTATTTCTGACCTTATATGCAAGGTTAGACTTCAGTCACAGACCTCACTTGTCTCCTTCCAATGTGTTCAGATAAACCTTAGTGGTAAAACTTGATTTCAACAGCCTTCAGATCTTTAGATCATTAAAATAAAGCAACCAACCAATACCAAAACCAAAACCAAACCCCTGGCAAAACAAATCCAACTGACTTAGTTTCTGTCATTATTATCTTACTAAAAGAATATTATAACGGGACATTTCCCCACATTAATTTTTTTTTTTCATTCTTCAAATGTTACCTCTGCAAATTTGCCTATTTCTTTTCCTTTATCACTTACATTAAAAAAACAAGCTCCACCTATTAAAGGCAATCATTTTATAGTATGAAAGCTATATAATCTGACTAGGAGTTTTCCTTGAACCACAGATAATATAGCACGGTAATACAATTTCAAAAATAAAATAAGATGCCCTACCTAAAATAACCTTTACCATCACCTTCTTTTATTTCTAAAGATACAGATGCCCTACCTAAAATAACCTTTACCATCATCTTCTTTTATTTCTAAAGACACAGAGAAGGTAAAGATGTCACTGTCAGGAGTCTGGGGTGCAGCAGTGGCTGAAAGTGGGGTCTGCTTGGCAGAACGGCGGAAGGCAGTGGCAAAACTGTAGAGTATCCGGCTTACCTACAACCAGACATGTTAGAAAACAGGCTGTTATCACAGGAAATAAAATACTTTTATTAAGACTGAAAGTTACCTATTTTGTCAGGGAGAATAATTCCTTTTTTTCTATTGATTTCTTTTTTATAATTATTCTTTAATTTCAGATTATTGAGGTATAATTGACATAAAATTCTAAGATATTTAAAGTATGTACTATGGTAATTTGATATATCTATACATTGTGAAACCCCAATGATGAATTAACACATCCATGTCATCTTTCCCCCATCCCTTGGTGAGACCATTTAAGTTCTACTCTCCTAAAAAATTTTAATTGTAACCCTGGCCGGTTTGGCTCAGTGGATGGAGCGTCGGCCTGTGGACTCAGGGGTCCCGGGTTCGATTCCGGTCGGGGGCATGTGCCTTGGTTGTGGCGCGTCCCTAGTGGGGGGGTATGTGGGGGGGGGGCAGCTGATCGATGTTTCCCTCTCATCATCAGTGTTTCTGGCTCTCTGTCCCTCTCCCTTCCTCTCTGTGATGAATCAGTGAAATATATTTAAAAAAAAGGAGAAAGGGGGAAAAAAATTTTAATTCTACAATGCAGAGTTATCACCTATAGTCACCATGATATGCATTAGATCCTCAAATTTTATTCATGCAAGTTTGTTCTCATTTACCAACCTCTCCCTATTTCCCTTAGCCCCCAGGCAATCTCTCTTCTACTCTGTTTCTATGAGTTTGACTTTTTTGTTATTTAGATTTCCTATTGACATCTTTTGGTAAATAAAAGTAAGTGCAAAAGTTTAGCTCTAAAATAATCGTTTGCAAATGTGTCATTGCTGGAACCAAGATGCCAATTTAACCCAGCCAAGAAGCAGCCAACTGGTCTCCTCTAACACTCTCAGCAACAAGGTTTTGGTTAACCTACCTTTTAGCTCATTCATATTTCTGTCCATAAGGATGGAATAAACAAAACACTTGCAGAGAATTTCATTTGGCTCATAAGTGACCATAATAAATACTGCAATCATTTCAACACAGTGAAGGTACAGGTGAAATTTCATTTGCAAACAGTATTTGCTTAAGGACTTACAGCTTCTTGTATTTCACATCGGAAGACATGTATCCTAAAGAGCTCTGCATTGTAATGACTTTCAGTGAAAGCAAAACAGTCACTTTCAGGAGTTCCATCATGTCCTCTGACACAGAAGAGGATTTTGTAGATAGGATAGTTTGCTATTTCAGTGTTTGTCTGAGGATCTAAGAGTCTGTCCAGAAAAAAATATATAAAAAGATTAGAGGGATTATGGACTATTTTCACTATATCTATATTATGATTTAAGACTCATCTTTCTAGCAGGAAGTTCATATATACCTTTTGTGGAATTAGCTAACTGCATTAATTTTAAGTCTTGATAATTAAGTCATATATGGATTCCTAAAGTTATTGATTACATAATTTCATTATATTAAAACTACATAATCCCCATATTTTAGGGAGGCAATCAGGAAGGCATAAATAATATCAGTAAGTACATATGTTTCTTATATACTCTGTAACTAAAAACAAGAACAATGAGTAAATTAGTCTTATCAGAATTATTAAAGATGTGCTTCTCATTCTCTCCTAAAAGAATGACCTACTCTGCATTCTTATCTACTAGAGGCCTGATGCACGAAATTCGTGCAAGAGATTCAGCCAAAAAAGAAAAAAAAGAGATTCAGCCCTCGCAGCCCCAGCCAGCCCTCGCAGCCTCTCACAGCCTTGGCTGGCCCTCGCAGCACCGGCTTCATCTGAAAGGTCATCTGGAAGGTTGTTTGGCTGTTTGGTCTAATTAGCATATTAGCTTTCTATTATATAGGACAATAATAAAAGCATGATATGCTAATTATACTAGCCGTCATTGGGGACAAAGCTAGGGCCAGAGGGAAGCCTGAGTCCCGGGTGCATGCTGGCAGCAGGAGCGAAGCCCGGGCCCTGGGTGTCAGAGGGAAGCCGGTGCTGGCAGCCAGGGGAAGGAAGACCTACTCTTGCACGAAATTCCTGCATCAGGCCTCTAGTCCTATCTAATAAAAGAAAAACATGGTAATTGGCGTACGACCGCTACCCTTCCCATTGGCTAATCAGGGTGATATGCAAATTAACTGCCAGCCAAGATGGCGGCCGGCAGCCAGGCAGCTTGAAACTAACATGAGGCTTGCTTGCTTCAGTAACGGAGGAAACCAACGTTCCCCGCCTGCCTTGCCAGCCTCTGAGCTTTCAGTTTAAGAAACATTGTAACAAATATAGAAGCTAAACAAAACCCCAGAAACCTGCTTTCAGCGAGCCTGGGATCTCAGAGCTGAAGTTATACATTGTTTCGATTATAGAACCAAAACAAACCAAATACCTTCTTTCAGCAGCAGAGGCCTCAGAGCTGGAGCCAGAGCTAAAGCTGGCCCAGAATTAAAAAAAAAAAAGAAAAAAAGGAGCAGTTGGGAGCTTCAGTCGGCCTGAAAACAGCCCTCAGCCCCTTACCCAGACTGGCCAGGCACCCCAGTGGGGACCCCCACCCTGAAGGGTATGTTACCAGCTGCAAACAGCCATCATCCCCTCACCCAGGCTGGCCAGGCACCCCAGTGGGGACCCCCACCCTGATCCAGGACACCCTTCAGGGCAAACCAGCCAGCCCCACCCATGCACCAGGCCTCTACCCTATATAGTAAAAGGGTAATAATGCCTCCCAGCACCAGGATCAGCGTGTCAGGGGGCAGCGCCCAAACCCCCTGATCGCCCTGCGACTCTGTGTGTGACAGGGGGCGGGGCCACAAGCTCCCTATCGGTCCTGCTCTGTTCCTGACAGGGGAAGGCGCCCGAACCCCCTGATCAGCCCTGCTCTGTGCCTGATGGGGGGAGCTCCCCAACCCCCTGATCGCCCTGCGGCTCTGTGTGTGACAGGGTGCGGCGCCTCAACCCCCTGATCGGCCCTGCTCTGTGTGTGACAGGGTGCGGTTCTCACCCCCCCCCCCCCCACGGGCCCTGCTCTGTGTGACAGGGTAGAGCCATACCCTCCCCATCGGCCCTGCCCTGAGTGTGAGAGTGGCAGTGCCCCAAACACCTGATCGGCCCTGCTCTGTGGGTGATAGAGGGCGGCGCCCTAACCCCCCACCCCCCCCCCACGGGCCCTGCTCTGTGTGTGATGGGGTAGAGCCATAACCTCCCCATTGGCCCTGCCCTGAGTGTGACAGTGGCTGCGCCCCAACCCCCTGATCGGCCCTGCTCTGTGGGTGATAGAGGGCAGCGCCCCAACCCCCTGATCCGCCCTGCCCTGAGTGTGACAGGGGGCGGTGCCCCAACTCCCCTATCGGCCCTACTCAGTGAGTGACAGGGGGGAGCTCCTCAACCCCCTGATCGGCCCTGCTCTGTGCATGACGGGGGGAGCTACCGAACCCCCTGATTGACCCTGCTCTGTGCGTGACAGGGTACGGAGCCCCAACCCCGATTGGCCCTACTCTGTGCATGACAGGGTACGGAGCCCCAACCCCCCTGATGGGCCCTGCTCTGTGCGTGACGGGGTGGCGCCGCAACCTCCCCATCGACCCTGCCTTGAGTGTGACAGGGGGCGGTGCCCCAACCCCCCAATCGGCCCTACCCTGAGCGTGACTGAGGGTGGCATCGCAACCTCCCAATCCACCCTGCTCTGTGCATGACAGGGGAAGGCGCCCCAACTCCCCAATCGGCCCTGCTCTAAGCCCGACCAGGGGCTGCACCTAGGGATTGGGCCTGCCCTCTGCCACCCGGGAGCAGGCCTAAGCCAGCAGGTCGTTATCTCCTGAGGGGTCCCAGACTGCAAGAGGGCACAGGCTGGGCTGAGGGACCCCTCCCTCCCCCCCCCCCAGTGCACAAATTTTTGTGCACCGGGCCTCTAGTTTAAAATAAAAAGCTAGTGTGTTTGTCAGTGTAAAACACGTTCTTTTGACTTACGACAAATAAAGGGAGAGAGACTGTACAGAATGTTAACAATTAAGAAAAAAAATCATTATTAAAAATTTTAAAATGCCATGTATTGCCCTAGCTGGTTTAGCTCACTGGATACAGCGTCGGCCTGGGGCAACTGAAGGGTCCCAGGTTCAATTTTGGTCAAGGGCATGTACCTTGATTGCAGGCACATCCCCAGTAGGGGGTGTGCAGGAGGCAGCTGATCAATGCTTCTCTCTCATCGATGTTTCTAACTCTCTATCTCTCTCCCTTCCTCTCTGTAAAAAATCAATAAAATATAGTTTAAAAATAAAAATAAAAATAAATAAAATGCCATTCATTGAAAATCAAAGAAAGGTCATTCATTCATGAAATATTTATGTGATACCTACAATATTCCAGGCTCTGTTCTGAGCACTGAGGAGACAACTATAAAAGGACTAAAAAGAAACTATGCCACTTCAACAATATGCAGGGGCATCTTTTGGGAAGGCCTGTGCATAATGGAAATCTGTAAAAGGGGAACTAATCCAAGTTCAAAGGCACTTTGATAAAACTCTAACTCTGGCTGAATAGCTCAGTTAGTTAGGGCATCATCCTGATACGCCAAGGCTGCAGGTTCAATCTCTGGTCAGGCACATACAAGAAGCAACCAATGAATGAAAAATAAGTAGAGCAACAAATATGTTTTTTTTTTTTCTCTCTCTTCCCCTCCCTTCCTCTCTCTCTCTAAAATCAATTAAAAAACATTTTTTAAACTCCGAAAAACAGGACAAGAGAAACTGGTTTTCTTATATCTTTACAGAATTAAAATAGAACAAAGTATAACTTCAGTCAGGGAAACGACTACAGACTTAGAAGCATATAGAAATGAGTGCTAAAGAAATTTTATTAAAAGACCAGGAGAGTATTATGCTAAGAGAAATAAGCCAGTCAGAGAAAGACACGTATCACATGACCTCACTCATATGCAGAATCTAAAGAACAAAATAAACTGATAAACAAAATAGATCCAGAGACACAGAAACAGGGAATAGACAGGTGAATTTGACAGAGAAGGCAGGGGTGGTTGGGTGGGAAGAAATTAACCAAAGAACTTAAATGCACACATATGCATAACCTATGCACACAGATAATAATGTGGTGAAGGCCTGAGCCAGTGGTGCTTTAGAGGGGGTCAGTGAGAGAAAAACAGGGACATCTGTAATACTTTCAACAATGAAATTTAAAAATTTTTAAAAACTTAAGAAGAAAAAGAAAAGTTTTATATCAGCCCTGGTCAGCACAACTCAGTGGTTGGAGTGTCGGCTGGTGCACCCAAGGGTCGTGGGTTAGATTTCTGGTCACGGGCACATACCAGGTTGCAGGTTCAACCCCTGGTGCTGGTCAGGGCATGCAGGAGGCAACAATCCATGTTTCTCTCACATCAAAGTTTCTTTCTCTGTCTCTATCTCTTTCTCCCTCCCTTCTACTCTCTCTAAAAAATATATATATCAATGAAAAAATGTCCTTGTGTGAAGATTAACAACAACAAAAGTTCCATATTAATAAATATAATTAAAATTAGGATTTGTGAAATCGTTCTTTAAATACTCCAAGAAAAATTACATATGCAGATTTTTGAAATTTTGAATAATTAACTTACTTCTATCCCCATACAACTACAACTCTACTAACATGAAAAGCCAAAATGCTTCTGAGGGTCATGATATAAAACTAAGTGAAGAAAGCATGTTACAAGATGGTATGTATATTTCTATTGTTAAAAAGTTTGATTCTAATAGTTCTATTAAGTATACGTGCATATATATGTAGTTATATACACACACGTATATAAACATATACACATACAAATACACAAAGAGGGTCTTGATAAACTAAGATGTAACTGTGTTTATTAACAGAAATAGAATTGAGTATTTTCCTGAATTTTTGCTTATTCATGTTTTCTGATTTTTCTGAAATCAGGGAGAAATGTTATTTTATTTTAGCTGTGTTCATCTGATTATTTAGAATTCTGCATTTAGCTAGTTTCTATAGATATTTGTTGTTACTGATTCTATAAAAATGAAGAATATAGTTAGTATAAAAATAGCCATTTCTAGAGACTTTTCTGGGCCTCAGTCTCACCATCATAAAAATTAAGAAACTGGCCCAGCCAGTGTGGCTCAGTGGTTGCGCACTGACCTATGAATCAGGAGGTCACCGTTCCAATTCACAGTCAGGGTACATGCCTGGGTTATGGGTTCAATCTCCAGTGTGGGGCGTGCAGGAGATAGCCAATCAATGATTCTCTCTCATCATTGATGTTTCTATCTCTCCCTTCCTCTCTGATATCAATAAAAATATATTTTTTTTAAATTAAGAAACTGTACTGGAATAGTTAATATTTACCAACAGGTTTTTGTAATTTCCAAAATCAGCATTAAACTCCCTATTGAACTAATATGTCAAGCTAGTATTTGCACTGGGGGAACACGGAAAACATAAATTGTTAGGCAGACTCTCATGTCAACATATTTCAATTAACCTACAAACATTTACATTTCTAATGTTCTACACACTAGTGGTCGCCAACCTTTTGGACCTCACGGACCACCAGTAGTCCACGGACCACCGGTTGACGACCGCTGCTACACACAATTGGAGTAGAGAAGAGTATAAAAATACTGTTCAAACAAGTGACTATTTTTCGTAAGGGTCACAATACTTGGAAGACATGATAACTTAAGTGCCAGAGAACTGAACAATACATGAATAAATGTTCTTGTCTTTTGACCGCTTATTTCTAAAACTACAGGTCAGAAGTCTGATCAACTGTTACAAATACTTCAAGAGGCTGGTCTTACCTCACAGTTCCCTCAGACACATTTGGCACTGATAGGGTTACATCCAGTGAAATCTGACACTGGCTTCTTAAGATGGACATCATCCTTAAGGCTTCCACTTCACTCCGGGGAGCATTGACTGAGGCACAGCCTAAGTAAGTTAGCTTGCTAAAGACCACACTGTCCTCATCAGCCACTGGTGTGAAAGGACTTGACCCTTCAGAATCTGAAAGAAATGATAATAAGGTGGTTAATTTTGTTTGATATTTTGTTGAATATGAAATCCAAGTAAAAATATATAAGTTATATTTAGGTTCGAAAATTAAGTACTAATGAGATAATATTCCATTGCTCCAGAAGTAGTGCCCATTAAAGCCAGAAATCTCACACTAGAACTGTCACTAACACCAAAATTTTCAGGTACTGCTGTATTGTCAATCCCGAGTCTAAAAGGTGGCCTGAGATTCAGATCCAATTTAACTTTCTGCTTCTCATTTGTTTTGACTTTGTTGTTTACACTTAGGAGAAAACAAAACAAACAAACAAAATAACCCTTTAGTATTTCACCCCTCTGAAAAATCCCATCTGTCTTCTTTCTAATCTGCACTGTTATAATTATTTCTCTCATTCATCATCTTAGCCACTTTATTAAGTTCTCTCAATCCCCTTGCTCTCCCTTTCCCAATAAACATCTGCAGTTTTAACACCAATGCGCCTTTCTAATTGCCCTTTTCCTCCTGCAGCTTTTTTTCAATTTGGCAGCTATTCCCACAGAGCTATAACATAGGCCTACAGCAAACATCTCTCACCAAGCTTTACTCCTCCATTTGTTCAACACTGTACACAAACTCCTCTTTTAATCATCCTGAAGTAAGATTCCCTAATGCCATTTAACTATTTCCCTTTCTTTGGTATAAATGATAGAATGGTACATCTAATTACTTCCCTCATATTCCCCTAAATCTTGAATCTGAATTCTAGAGAACACAGATAATGGTTTTTGCTCACTCTGAATCAAACCTAGAACAGGGTAGACGCTCAAATATTAAAAACAATAACCTTCAGTAATGTAAGCAATGCAGCAATCCTAACCTCCTTGTCCAGGTTGCACTGGCAGGCTCATCTCTGGTTTTTGGAGCCCTACTAATGGCACAGGGTTAATGGTGGATGAAGCTGAGAGCGGATTAGAAAGAGGCCCATCTCCTTCACCATCCAGTTGCGACCTTTCCACAAGCTCCTTTTCCCCTGGCTGGTCGTCCATTGGAGGATCCATTAGCACATCTGCCAACTCTTTTTGCAGCTGCTGCTCACTTCCATTCCCTATAATCTAAGGGTCACAAATACATGCAATCAGCGAAGTGAGAGAGGCCAGGTCTGATTCAAATGGGTCTGCATCTAGAGAAAAGTCAGCTTTTCTTTTGATACAAAGATATTTTCTGAAATATTTTTTAATAGAATAAATCAAGATCTGCAATAAATAAAAGCTGCAACTGCCCTCTTAATTCATAATTTTTTTCATGAAACAGTTTAATGGCTTTGAGACTAATACCCAGAAATACATGTGAATAGTCTATTAATGTTATTAAAAATTTTCTACAGTGTCCTAAACTAACAATGAAAAGATTTCTAATTTTACTGTCTGGTGAAAAACAATGCTGTTGAGAGGAATATCCTTAGCAGCTCCCCTTATTGTTAAGAAAAAGGAAACTGTGTCTGCTTCCAGAAGTTATCAATAGACACATCACTTATTAGGTAATAAAATTTCCCATGTATTTTACCACTCCTGCTGTAAGTACATCTCTTATATTTCTGAGGAAGACTTCTCTGATATAAACAAGTTCTTAAAGTTATGAGACACTTGAATAAAGCAATCTTTCTTTCCCTAATATGTTTCTTCTCTAATATGTATAAAATGTTCCTGAGAAACAGAAGCAATCCATTTTAATAATGTCAAGTATTTTTCTAGAGTCATGATGGTTTATTATTAGTTGCTCAACAAGGAAGCAAACAAGAACAAAATCAAGTGGAGCTTACCCAATGCTAAAGAAAGCCACAGTGACAAAACCCAGTATGGACATTAAATGCTTATTCAAGAAAAAATTTTAAAGCATTAATTTAGGAAAAGGAAAGTCATGATGAAAACAAGGTGGCTGATTTGGAGGCTTTCTGAAGATTAAACCCTGACAAAATGTTAAAAGAGGTGGGACTAAGAGACTGTTAGAGAATGAGGTCTTCCCAGTAGAATCAACACAGAAGTTGGGAAGCAAAATTTCAGTTAACAGAGGTACCTCTGGACTATCGAGGAACCCAGTTCAAACATCTTTCATAACGTACAAACTTCAAGTCCCTTTGGCTGTAAATTATGATTGAGAAACAGTCTTAAGTCCTTTTTGCTGACATTTTCCTAAGGAAATTCTAACGTATCAGCCACTCCTGCCTTGGAAATAAGAGCCAGACAGATGTTCAGCCTCTTAGCTTCAATTACACACAGGTCTGTTCCTATGAACTTCATTTTATGTTTATAGTCACTGCTAATAGAACTACAAGTGGTTCAAGTCAAGTAATTTTAATTTTTGCTTATGTCTGATTCTACTCCTTCACAACTGCAATCAAAATTCTTTTTTCAGAAATTGTGTTTTCAAAAGCACCTAGAAAACAAACTAGAAATTAGTTTCAATTAACCTCTTATACTTTCAGAAATACTGAATCACCAGAGGTAAATAAAAGATAACCAAACTGCATCCACACTGTTTTCTAAGGGAAGGAGAATGAACATCGAAGGACAGTTAAGCTCTGGACAGGTAGCTCAGTTGGTTAGAGCATCATCTCGATATGCCAAGGTTGTGGCTCCAATCCCCAGTCAGAGCATATACAAGAATCAACCAATGAATGCATAAATGATTGGAACAACAAATCAATGTTTCTCTCTCCTTTCGCTCTCTAAAATCAATAATAATAATAAAAGAACAGTTCAGAGCTTCCTAAAAACAGATGAAGATATTAGATTCCATGTTTAAGAAATTAGTAATTATAACTCAGGAAGCAATCATTAAAAGAACCACCTAATTAGAAAGAAGACATTTTACATGCTATGAAGGATTTTGTTCTTTTCAAAATAGGATATACTATGACTAAAACTCAAGTTTTCTGTTATATTAGCTGCCTATATTGTAATACATTCGCCAATCATGAAAATATACCTAACCCTGAGAGAAAATATTTATATGTTTACCTTTTGTGTTTAAACATGTGTATTTTGCATTCTTCCCTCGTTTATAAAGTATATAAACATTAAGAACTGCCTTCTATTACCTTAACTCATTTTTAAAGGCTAAGAATATGTACACACGAAATTTGGTTTTTAAAAGCTGCTTAAAAATAGCAACCTAACATAAGCCTTAATAATTAGGTCCAATACAGCACTCAACAATTATCATGTTATATCACTTGTCAACCTTTAATCCAATTTCAAAATTACTATCTGTAAAATTATAATATACATATTTATAATATACATACTTAAATCAATTAAGGTGTTTTTTTAAAGATAGTCCATTAATCTTTCCTAGGTATACAGGGAAACAGCCTTCCAAGATTTCAAATGCTGCCCTGCATCCGTCACCTAGAGAACTTGTTAAAACACAAACTGCTGGGCCCTAACAGAATTCCAAATCAGTTAAGTCTGGGGTGGGCTCGATCATTTGCATTTTAAAAGTTCCCAGGAGATGGTGATGCTGCTGGTCTGGGAACCAGACTCTAATCACCAACCTTAGATTAACGGTTCTTTAACCATCTATATATATATATAAAAAACCAGCGACCAGAACACCGGAATGACTGGTCACTATGACGCAGTGTGGCCAGCCAACTGGCCTGATCGGGGGCAGGACCAGCTGGCCAACCGCCTGCAGCCCCTCCACCCAGCTGGCCCCATCCCAGATTGGCCCCCCTACCCTGGGGGCGGGGCTGACCCGCCCACAGCCCCTTCCCCCCGCAGGCCTGGCGTAATCAGCCCCCATTGAGGTGGGCCCAGCGGGCCCCACCCGTGCACGAATTCGCGCACCAGGCCTCTAGTGACTACATAACACAATTACCAATAGTACCAGGGACCATGTTAAATTCAAACACCTGCTCCTCCCTTTGTCCCCTCACTTCCCACTCTGACAACTCATTAGTCTCAGAAGTAGAGCCTGGGCATATGCATGTTTAAGAAATTCCACAGGTGATTTACAAAATAGATAGCAGGTTAGATTAAGCCAGTAGTTTCTTGATGCCTGGTATAGATGAACAACAGCTTAAACAAACCAGCAACTGCTTATCTCTAAACTTTTTGCTATAACAGGAAATAAACCCACAATTAATAGGGCCTTCCGTTCTGTGCTGTCAAAAGCATTCCTAGCAACACAATCATCTTTAAATAAATATAACTGCAGTCAATCAAGATTTTGTAATATTAATGAAAGGGCAGACATATAGATCAATGTAACAAAATAGAATCCAGAAATAGATCCACACATATATGGCCAATTGGTTTCAGCAAAGTTGGCAAGGTAAATCAAGGGAGAAAGGTAATAAAACAAAAGGTGCTAGAACAATAATTTGACAAATATACACATGCAAAAACATGAATCACAACCAATACTTCATTTCACATACAAAAATTAATACAAAATTGATCACAGATCTAAACATAAATTCTAAAACTATAAAACTTATAGAAAAAGTAGGAGAAAATCTTTGCAATCTTGGGATACAATTTCTTAGGGCACAAAAAGTATGCATAAAAAAATTGATAAAATGGGTTTTGTCAAAACTATAAATGTCTGCTCAAAAGTTACTGTTAAGACAATGAAAAGAGAAGCCACAGACTTGGAGAAAATATTTGCAAACTATATATGCTATGAAGAATTTATATTCAGAATCTATAGAAAATTCTTATAAGCCAATAATAAGAAAACAAGCAACCCAATTAAAAAAATAGACATTTCACCAAAGATACATGAATGACAAATAAACATATAAAAGAAACTCAGTATCATTAGCCATTTGAAAAAATCAAAACCACAATAGTATGCCTCTATACACCTGTAAGAATGGCTAAAATTAAAACAAAACAATCCTGACAATGCCAAGGGCTGGCAAGGATTAGAGCAACTGAAAAATGCTCATGTATTGCTGGTGGGAAGGCAAAATAGTACAATCACTTTAGCTTGTTTTTTGTAAAATTTTATAAAGTTAAATATATACTCACCATATGACTCCCTCCTAGGTATTTACTGAAGAAGGCTAAAAACATAAGTCTACACAAAGACCTGTGTGCAAATGTTTATAGCAGCACTACTCATAATCACACAAAAACTGAATAAAAAGTAGTATTTATCGACTGGTGAATGGATAAACAAATGCCTATGGCCTCTATACAATAGAATACATCTCAGCAATGAAAAGTAATAAATTACTAATACACACAAAAACAAGGATGAATCTCAAAGGCATTATTCTAAGTAAAATAAGCCAGACACAAAAGGCTATATACTGTATGATTCCATTTATATGGCATTCTGGAAAAGGCAAAACTATAGGGACAGAAATCAGACCGTTGGTTGCCAAGGGCTATGAAGGAGGGAAGAGGATTGACTAAAAAGAGGCATAAAGGGACTTTTGGGGTGATGAATATATTCTGCATTTTGACTGTGATGGTGGTGGTGACAAAAAAGTTTACATTCATTCAAGGTCACATAACTAACTATACATCTAAAAGGGTTGAATTTTACTATGTATAAATTTTACCTTAATAAACTTGACTTAAAATAAAACAGAAAGAATATATTGAGGTAGGGGGCAGGGGTGGGATGGGAGAGGTCAATAGGGAAAAAGGGAACATACGTAATACTTTCAACAATAAAGATTTTTTAAAAAAGAATATATTGATCATGCTCTCCCTCCTAGGAGCATACCCGTGCCTTTCCTTCCCCCTCTCACGGCATCGCCTAAATCCTAAGGGACCCAAGTCTTCTAACGGGAACAATGGGCAGTCGCACTTCATCCAGGGCTAACCCTCTGAACCTGTCTCCAAGACTCCCTTTTCTCTGACTTCTCAGTGAGTCAAAGCAGCCAGGCCTAGTCTCTCTCTCCTGTTGCTTTTTCTATCCTAGGCCCTTCCTTGTTTCACTGTCCCCAGCTTTAATAAACACTCTCAAAATGAAAATATATATATTAAAAAAGAAGAATATATTGATAGTGTGGGAGGCTATGCATATGTGGAGGCAGGCATTATATGGGAAATCTCTGTACCTTCCTCTAAATTTTACCATAAATCTAAAACAG